ATTTGCAGATCAAAAAAGAAAGTATTCTCCTATGTCCACGACCGCCTGAGTAATCGTGTAAATACTTGGTTGGCAAGACTTCTATCCAAAGGTGGAAAAAAAAATTCAAATAAAATCGGTTGCACAAGCTATCCGACATATGTCATGTTATGCTTCCTATTACCCCAAGGAGTGACTAACAAACTGCAGAGTGCCATTGCCAACTTCTAGTGGAGCTCAAAACAGAATAGCAGCGAGAGACACTGGATTGCCTGGGACAATATTTGCATTCCCCAGGATATGAGAAGCCTTGGATTTAGAGATTTACAAGACTTTAACTTAGCCCTTCTAGCTAAACAGCTATGGCGTCTTATCCAGTACCCTTCATCCCTCTTGGCTCAGGTTTTAAGAGGCAGATATTACAGACAATCCGATCCTCTAGAGGACTGGAACGTATACTCACCATCCTATGGGTGGTGGAGTATAATGGCCGCAAAATCATTCCTGAAGATGGGATTAAGGAAGAAGATTGGATCGGGCCTGAATACTAGAGTTTGGAGCGAACCGTGGATTTCGGATCTTAGAGCCCGGCCGTCAAGTGCCGCCCAGCAGATCGGATTCCAAGACCCGGGATTATTGGTATACTCTTTCATCCGTCAAGATACGAAACAATGGAACGCTCCCCTACTTTCCAACATGAGGATGTCTCTCTCATCCTTGGGTTTAGACCTAGTCGTACTTGTACCTTGGATGGATATGCTTGGAATCATTCCAAATCGGGACTTTATTCGGTTAAGTCAGGATATGATCTGATTAGAAGGACAAAGCTAGAACAGGAAGCTGGAGCGATGAGGGAACCGAGTATTACGACATGTTTGGAAAGTCTGTACACCTGGAAAGATGAAACACTTTATGTGGCAATCTTTATCAGGGTGCGTAGGTAAATGTCAAAACCTCACCTACCGACATATGGGCTCAGACAAACGCTGCCCCCGCTGTGGGGATCCTCAGTAGTTTATAAACCATCTATTGTTTTTATGTCCCCCAGCCTTACAAGTATGGGTGTTATCGGACTTTCTATCCCTTCCGGGTGTCTTCCCGAGTACATCTATTTATCAAAATATGTGTTTTCTCTTTTGAAAAACAAAAGAGCAAGACATGACAGATCCTCAAAAGGATGTATATCCTTGGATCCTATGGTTTATTTGGAAAGAAAGGAACGAGAAAAATTTTAACGGGAAAGAAATTTTCCCGGAAGACACCTTGATCCACGCAAAGGTGGAAGCAGAAAGTTGGAGATTAGCAAACCAACCTGAAGACGACGATGACGCTCACGTTTGAGGCATTGCCCCCCCCCCCCTCCGGCCCCGATATCACTACCTGAGGTACCGCATATCCCGATATGCTGGATTGATGCTTCTTGGATCAATCACGGACAGGTTAGCGGCTTTGGGTGGAGTTTTGAGGATGGCATAGAGAATGAGATTTTTGGACTACAGGGATGTCGTAGAAGCCTATCGGCTCTTCACGCCGAGATGGATTGTCTCTTATGGGGTATGTCATGCCTGAGAGAAAGACAGATGACTTCGGTGCATTTTCAGACCGACTGTTCAGACCTTGTGAGCATGTCTGAATCACCAGCAGATTGGCCTTTTTTATGACAGAGTTGGAATCTTTACGTATATTTCGCGAGAGCTTCTCAGAGTTCACCTTATCCCATATTCTGAGAATTTAAAATGTCCGGGCGCATAGTCTTGCAAAAAGAACTCGAGCAAGAAGAGTTATTTTTTTCCGAATCGTTCATACCGAGCCGGTCGAAGATGGTCCACAAACTACTTCTCTGATAGACCAAATGTGATTGTAATAGTTGGGTAGAGGAAAAATAATAATAATAGTAATAGTAAAAATTTAACTTAAGATAATGAGCCTACAATAATCAAATCATGATTATTCTACAATAATTAAATCATGATTATTCTATATGATTGTACTAATGTAACAATAACTAGTAGTTAACCGAACACGAATAACAAGAAGTGAAAATTATATGTAGCATATGAATTAAAAAAGATTAGCAAAAGATTTTCTGGTTGGGAATTTGAAATCTATTATTGAATTTTTTTATGCTAAAAATGTGATTTTTATGTTAATTTTTTTTATTCTTCTGTTCTCTTTTATATAGGATTTTTATCTTTTGTTTATTTCCTTTTTCTAACTTAAAATATAGTTTTTCCTTTTTGTTGAAAATTTTTGTTTAATTTTATTTATCTAAACAAAACTACTATTTTTTAACATTTTAGGATTAGGAATCATTCATAAATTTTATTTTTATTGTTAATATTTTTTTCTAAAATATTATTAAAAAAATTAATAAAAATGTGTCAAAATATAATTGGATCAAAATTCATTAAATTCATTAAACATGTGTCAAAATAGAATTTGAAACATCATCCTTTATATAATAAGATATGAAGAATCTAGTAGGTTAATAACAGAAATTTTACTGCAATATATTAATCATTGTCTAAATTCATGCATGCATGTCATTTTAATAAATTAATTTATCTAAATTCCTTAATATAATATGATTTGAAGAATAATTTTAGAAGATTATGTACGAGTTATTTTTTTCTATCCATGAATTAGTAATTATTAGTACAATCCCTGAAGAATGATGCGTTTTGTTTGTATCATTTACTCTCTTTCGTTTTTTGGTTGTTGCAGGACGTGAGGGAGAGCCACCGCTATTGCCAAAGATGCGTTGAAAGTTGAAACATTTGGTAGACTGCGAAAATACTAATTGCAGAACGTTATAAAACCAAGTAACCAACCACACATAATTGTTGTCGTTATCAGTAGCTGTGTAGTCTCAACGCCGATACCATATTAGAGGATGGTTGTAAAGAACTTTTTTTCCACTAAAAGTAAGTTGATCACAAGCTATTCTTTAGATACACTAAAACAGAGTAATTAAGTGAGACTAACATAACAACTTACTAATTATCTAATTAACTTCAAACGCAATATTACTAAGAGCTATAATACACAATATATATATATATATATTATAAAAATACTTATATACTAATGTACACAGGAATATCATTCACTTCATTCCAAAGCTATCCAAGTTTAGATCTATCTATAAACCCCAAGGTTTCAACAGATGATATTTTCCTATAAGAGAGTTGTACTCCGACCTCTAATTTCGATCATAGCCTAATTGATCTAACTCTACACGCTTATGAAATTAAACTCCTAAATGCATCAATTTTTTCATTTAAGGTTGTTAGAATGTGGTAGACTCCATTTAAATTGCTCACGGGATTTAGTTTAGTTCACTCTTCTCTTGTTTTCATTGGCTTCATCTCATTCTTTGCAATCAGTTACGCCTTTATCTAATATTTGATATGATCTAAAGTGACAAGTAGATAAAGCTAAATTATTCCTAACTTTTCATATTGGACAAAATAACCAATGAAATAAGTTAACCAATACTCCACCTCGTCATTTTCACAATCTAGAAACAAACAATGCCCAAGGTGATATAAGATTGGAAACACTCTAATTTATGATCACTCAATGATCAAAAGATTCCAAACTTAACATTGCGAAAGTTGGAATTGAAGTCAAGATGAAGGCAATGATAGGTAAATTAATTTCTCAATCAAATGGACGAACAACTGAGTTCGAATCTCTCAAACAAACTTAATCCTCGGTAATATATAAACCAAAAATTTTTTGCATACTTAAGATCTAAAGACAAAAATATTTTTTATCATATTTGTCTCCTCCTTCTTCTTCAATGTATTGGCTTCATCCGGCTTCTTATTCTACTTATGGTTTTTCTTTTCTTTGTTTTTGTCATCTATCCTCTTTGTATTTTCCAACTTTTCTCCATTGTCTTAGTCTTCGTCTTCCTCTTTTTATTTATCTTTAAGTTTTTCTTATTCGTCGTCTTTTTGATTTCATCAGTTTTGGCTTCTACAAATTTATTTTAATTTTTTCTTTTTTTCACCTTTCCGATTTTTTCTTCGTCATTTTACTATATTTTTCTCCTCCCTCTTCTACATTATTTTCTTTCAGAATTTGTGATTTAGCACCCATAAGAGAGTAGAGAGACACCAAATATAAAATATATGTATGGTTTCTAGCTAGGTGGTGAGATAATATATATGTACGTCTTCTGGTCAGAGATATAGTAATCAATTTGACTTTGGATTGTTTCTTGTCATTAATTTAGTCACCATATATATTGATCTGATCGAACAAAGTGAGACATTAATAAAGCTGATCGAGTGAGTGATGTTCAAGAAATCTTTTGTTTTTGTTTTTGTTTTGGTAGCTGTAGTAGTAATTGGAGATGAGAAAAAGAAAACGACGCCTAGGACCTTGCGGCTTGTTGGCTGAGTTTTTGAACAGGGAATTTTTCCACTACACTTATGTGATCTTTTGCCTTTTTCTCTACAGCCTTATTTCGACTTGATTGGTCTCATTTAATTATGTTGATGTCACTTTTCTTTTATCTTTTCCATTTCATTACGTAATTTTTTTTCCTCTTTGATCATTGTAATCGGCTATAAAGCCCACTTATGAATCTTTTGTTCATATCAATAAGGAACTAGAGTTTTTCTTAAACCTAAAAGCTTCATCGATGCTAAGCGCCTCCTTTAGCTCCTTATTGAGAATCGTACCTCAAAGTAGTTTGAGATCGTGATATATCTCACGACTTTCACATCTTGAGTGGTTCACTCCAATCCATCTGTTCATGATTGCATTTGTTTTAGGAGACAACCGGCTGAGACCACCCCTCTCGTTTTGTGATTCCAAAGTTCCAACCCCAGTCTTGTATTATTAACTTCTTGGGGTCGATTAATAATCCTCCATGAAAGGTAAATATGTCCTTATCGGGTCCGATAGACTTAGTAAAATCTTTTTGAGCTCTGGTTCAGTTGTAGGTGAGACACCCTAAACCGGAGAAACCATATTGAATAACTTGACTTGCATTCTACACCTAAATAATCTCTTAAAGAACGGGACATCCGATAAAATTGAAACGATATAGAGAAGATTAGCATTGCTCCTACGCAAGAATGACACGCACAAATCGAGAAATGGTGGTTGTAAACCGGCAATACCACTAACTCCCGTATTTCGGAAGTAAGATCACACGTGAGTCATCAGACAACACAGGACTGCTCACAACCTCACCCCACAAACAAATTAATACCTAGCACACAATCACGCAATCTACTTTTAACCGTGGATCGCAGTCCCGTCTGGACCGATCCATGGTTCCCTGCAAAATCGTTAGTTCCTATCTTCAATTTATTTTGCAGAGCCTACCATATTTCATAAATATAATATCAAAGAGGAGGTTTAACCTTCTACTCCATATATATGATCTGAGGAGACATATTCTACCATATGATCATATGATCGTGAAGGCATAGCCTATCATAACGATCGATTTAGAGAAGGCAGAGCCTATCATCCCGTAAACTTTAAAAATAAATTGAACATAATTTAATTAACGGTTCGGGGAAGGCAGAGCCTATCATCCTGAAACAATACGTTAACTTGAAATAAACATAAATTTAAATCTTACCTCTTTAGATATAAGAGCGGATCAAGAGACGCTTGTGCTGATAACGTGTTTTTTGAATGGTGTAGTAGGAAGCGCTTTTGTAAAGAGATCTGCTGCATTGTCACTTGAGCGAACATATTGAATATCCACTTCCTGATTTTTCTCGAGTTCTTGAGTATAAGAGAAAAACATTGGAGGAATATGTTTTGTTCTGTCGCTTTTGATAAAACCTTCTTTGAGTTGGGCAACACATGCAGCATTGTCTTCGAACAATTTTGTTGGTTTCGTATCGATGATTATTCCACTTGCACTTTGTATATGTTGAGTCATAGATCGGAGCCATATGCATTCTCTAAATGCTTCATGAAGAGCAATGATTTCCGCATAATTTGAAGAAGTGGCGCCAAATTCTGTTTTTGAGAACGCCACGAGATCGCTGTTCCACCAATTGTGAAAACATATCTAGTTTGAGATCGAGTTTTATGCGGATCTGATAAATATTCTGCATCTGCAAAACCAACTAGACCGACTTTGGGGTTTCTAGGATAAAGTAAACCTAAATCAATCGTACCTTGGAGATAACGAAAAATATGTTTTATCCCATTCCAATGTCTGCACGTAGGAGATGAGCTGTATCTTGCAAGTAGATTAGTAGCAAAAGCTATATCTGGTCGAGTACAATTTGCAAGATACATAAGCCCACCAATAGCGCTCATATAAGGTACTTCAGGACCTAATATGTTTTCACTATATTCACAAGGTCGAAATGGATTCTTGTTAATATCAAGTAATCTATTGACCATTGGAGTACTCAAAGGAGTTGAGTTATCCATTTTAAAGTGTTTTAACACCCTTTTGGAGTAATTTGATTGATGCACAAATATTCCGTCTTGGAAATGCTCAATTTGGAGCCCTAGACAAAATTTTGTCTTTCCAAGATCTTTCATTTGGAACTTTTCTTTCATGTGAGTTCTTGCATCATCAATCTCCTTTTGAGTTCCGATTATGTTCAGGTCATCGACATATACAGCAATGATCACAAATCTTGATGAGGATTTCTTAATAAACACGCAAAGGCATATCGCATTGTTGATGTATCCTTTTCTCAACAAGTATTCACTCAAGCGATTATACCACATGCGTCCAGACTGTTTTAATCCGTTAAGTGATGGCTGTAATTTGATCGAAGATATATCTTTAGATGCTTCAGGCATCTTTGATCCTTCTGAGATCTTTACTCCCTCTGGAATTTTCATATATATATCACTATCAAGTGATCCATATAGATATGCAGTCACAACATCCATAAGGTACATATCTAGATTTTTAGATGCTGTTAGGCTCATTAAGTACCTGAATGTGATTGCATCCATGACCGGGGAATATGTATCTTCATAGTCAATTCCCGGTCTTTGAGAAAAACCTTGTGCCACAAGTCGGGCTTTATATCGTGTGACCTCGTTTTTCTCATTTCTTTTTCTCACAAAAACCCATTTGCACCCGACTGGCATTACATCTTTAGGTGTAATGATTATAGGTCCAAATACATTTCTTTTATTCAGGGAGATTAATTCATTTCTCATGGCCATCTGCCATTTCTCCCAGTCAGGCCTTTTCTGGCACTCTGACACGGACCTTGGGTCTGGATCATCATTTTCATTATCAATTTCTTTAGATACCGAAAAGGAGAATATTCCATTTGTATCATTTATCTCGCTTCTAGCCCATAATGTCCCATTTTGGGCGAAGTTAATGGAAATCTCATACTTTTCAGTATCATGTTCGTCTTCGAGACGAACTTTTTTAATTGGTTCTTCTGGAACATTTTCACCAATGTCTTCAAGACATTTTTCTTTATTTGGTTCTTCTGTAATCTTGTCTCCCAATTTCAATTTTCTTTCGAGGATTTTTATCCTTCGAGCCCATCGGCCGCCCGCGCTTTAACTGAACCCGTGGTTCATTTGCTTTATTCCCATCAATAACTGGTTTCGGAACATTTATTTTTGATGGAGCATTAGCAGCGGGGATATATGATTTTGTCACTCTTCTCATATCTGTGAACGCATCAGGTAACTGGTTTGCCAATCTTTGCAAATGTATGATTTTCTGAACTTCCATTTCACGTTGATGGGTATGGGGATCGAGATAAGCCAAGGTTTGTGTACACCATGTGATATCCTTTGGTGATTCTCTTGATCCTCCCCCCAACGCTGAGAATTCATTTTCATCAAAGTGGCAATCGGCAAAACGTGCCGTAAACATATCTCCAGTTACCGGTTCAAGATATCTAATTATACTTGGTGACGTATAGCCGATATATATTCCCAATCTCCTTTGTGGCCCCATTTTTGTTCTTTGCAGCGGGGCTATTGGGACATAGACCGCACATCCAAATATACGGAGATGGGGTACATTTGGCTCCTTGCCAGATGTTAACTATATTGGGGAATATTCATTATATGCACTTGACCTCATCTGGACCAATGCCCCAGCATGCAATATAGCATGTCCCCATATAGTAATTGGGAGTTTTGTTCTCAATATTAACGGTCTTGCTATCAATTGCAACCGTTTTATTAAAGACTCAGCCATGCCATTTTGTGTATGAACATGTGGAATCGGATGTTCAACATCGATTCCTAATGACATACAATAGTCATTAAAGACTGCTGAAGTGAATTCACCAGCGTTGTCAAGCCTGACTTTCTTTATGGCATAATCAGGGAATTGCCCTCTCAACCTGATTATTTGGGCAATGAATCTTGCGAAGCCATATTTCTTGTGGTCAATAAACACACATGTGACCATCTACTATATGCATCAATTAATACCATGAAATATCTAAATGGCCCGCATGGTGGGTGAATCGGCCCATATATATCACCATGTATTCTTTCTAAGAATACAGGAGATTCATTCCCAACTTTGGCTGGTGAGGGCCTAGTTATGAGTTTTCCTTGAGAACATGCCTGACATGAAAACTCTTCCGATTAAAAAATCTTTTGGTTTTTCAATGGGTGGCCATTCAAATTTTGCACAATCCTTCTCATCATGACTAATCCAGGATGGCCAAGTCTTTCATGCCATACTCTAAATGTACTAGTAAATCCTGGGTTTACTGTAACATAGGATTCAGTCATATTTATTTTTGTGCAATATAACCCAGAGGACATCATTGGTAATTCTTCCAATACGTGTTTCCTCTCAGATATAATGCAAAAATATTCAATGCCATTCTTGATATCCATTTCCTCGGATATCTTTAAAACTTAGCAAGTTTCTAGTGGATTCGTGGGAATATAATGCATCATTTATTTCAAAATTTGTCCCCCTTGGCATTGAAAAATTAGCTCTTCCGGAGCCAATTATAATATTTGCATTACCAGATATGGTACCCACGCTTCCGGCGGAGTCTTCTATTTTGAGACAGGAGAAATACTTTTTATCTTTAAGTATAATATGTGTCGTAGCACTGTCGGCTAGACATGTATCTCCATCCTGAATCTCAAACGATGTCATAGTCTGAATCACAATATGCAAAAAAAAATGCATTAATAAATCAAAAACATGATTTGAAAAGTTATTTTGCATTAAGAAAACTCTTTTTTATGTTTAGAAAAATATATTACATTTTTATTTAAGATTACATTAGTTTTTCGTATCTTTTTTATAAACACATTATATTACATTTTGAAGATAAAAATAATAATCAAGGAGGAGGTTTAACCATAAAAGGAGATTGATGATGCAAGAACTCACATGAAAGAAGATTTCGAAATGAAAGATCTTGGAAAGACAAAATTTTGTCTAGGGCTCCAAATTGAGCATTTCCAAGATGGAATATTTGTGCATCAATCAAATTACTCCAAAAGGGTGTTAAAACGCTTTAAAATGGATAAATCAACTCCTTTGAGTACTCCAATGGTCAATAGATCACTTGATATTAACAAGGATCCATTTCGACCTTGTGAAGATAGCGAAAACATATTAGATCCTGAAGTACCTTATATGAGCGCTATTGGTGGGCTTATGTATCTTGCAAATTGTACTCGACCAGATATAACTTTTGTTACTAATCTACTTGCAAGATACAGCTCATCTCCTACGCGCAGACATTGGAATGGGATAAAACATATTTTTCGTAATCTCCAAGGTACGATTGATTTGGGTTTATTTTATCCTAGAAACCCCGAAGTCGGTCTAGTTGGTTTTGCAAATGCAGGATATTTATCAGATCCGCATAAAGCTCGATCGCAAACTGGATATGTTTTCACAATTGGTGGAACGGCGATCTCTTGGCGTTCTCAAAAACAGAATTTGGTCGCCACTTCTTCAAATTATGCAGAAATCATTGCTCTTCATGAAGCATGTAGAGAATGCATATGGCTCCGATCTATGACTCAACGTATACAAAGTGCAAGTGGAATAATCATCGATACGAAACCAACAAAAGTGTTCGAAGACAATGCTGCATGTGTCGCCCAACTCAAAGAAGGTTTTATCAAAAGCGTCAGAACAAAACATATTCCTCCAAGGTTTTTC